GTTTATTTTACACACCTTAAAACCTAAATTTTTATTTTATTTTATATCAGGGAAAGTTATACTATCTGATACAATACAAAATAATTCCATTCAATTCAATTCAATTCAATGGACTTTATTGTAACACATACATAATTATGTATCCTTACAAATGGCGAAGTTTGGCCAATGGCCATTTATACTTAACCATAAATGTCAATGATTATTACTACCTTCAAAATAAAATAAAAAAAAAACTGAAAAAGAAAAGGAAAAAGAAGAATAATAGTAAAAGAAGAATTAATAAATATGACATAATGCGATACGATTAGAACAAAAAAAAATAATACGTACGATTCAAAGAGAGGACAATAACCTAAGAGCTCAATAAATAGTTTTTATATTTTTTTTTAGAAACGTTGCTGATGAAATATTGTTCGAAAGAGTTGATCAATTTCACCGCATTATACGTAAAATACCGTTGAAAAATGGCTGTCCTATGTTGTGGCATTGTCAGGAGATTAATGTTGCGCGTATTCAAATTGTGAATTAAATTCCTACGAACAAGCTTTTGCATAAGATAAACGGGAACAGAAGTTTTTAATATTTTTACGACAAATGTAACAAAGTTGTATTTGAAAAGATCAGAAATTTTCAACCAATTCATTGAAGATATTAAGATTGACTGATTGATTGAGTAATTGACTTACGACTTTTTCAGGAAAACTTTTGTCTGTCATGACAGCAGTCATAAAAGAGTAAAAAAAGAGGAAAACAAGCAAGGTAAATCAAAAAATACAGGGTGCCAGGCCGAGTTATCAATTACGATAAGGTTGACAACTAGTGATACGGTGAAAAAAGACAAAAGTGTAAAGCTATAATATAATTTATAATGTTAATAAAAATTGTAAAATTGTAACATTGTCCGGCGATAATTATAATGAAAGGTGAACACAATCATACTTTGACAATTGCAGAGGCAGCCTCGTTTCATAGTCCTAGGGATACTCTTAGATCGTGTTTTGAGTCATATTTGAGTGATGGGATGGGAATTAAGGAGTCCGTAAACTTTCACGAATCAAAGCTGGAATTGCAGTACGGTATGGACAGTCCAGAATTAGCAAATGCAAGAATAAATCCGAGATACCGTACAATACAACACTGGTTCAACCAGTGGCGAATTTCAAATTTAGGACCACGATTTGGACCAGGTTCCATTGAGGTAGGTATTTACTTCATGAACATAACTCTCATAATTTATACCCAATTTTTTACAGAAATTAAAAGAAAAACGCGAAATCCACTTAAACAATGGCATACTCCTTGAATACCAAGAGGAACCCTACTGTGTACTGATTGCAACCAAACTGATGCAACGAGCACACCAATTACCCTTTGCAAAAGACATAGCTTTTGTAGACAGTACTGCATCCTGTGATGTTAGTGGACATTCGGTAACATTCATTTTAACTCGGTGTGCCGTTGGCGCTGTACAACTGGCAATTTTGATCAAAAAAGGCCAATTTGAAGAAGACTATAGATGTGAGTTCACTTTACTAAAGTCAAGTCTGGAGAATAGCTTTGGAGGTCTGGGTTATCCAAAAATTTGTATCACTGATAACAGTGACGCTGAGAGAAATGCTCTTAAATATGTCTGGCCAAATAGCAAAACTCTTTTATGTAGATTCCACATTTTGCAATCAGTATGGCGCTGGTTGTTTGACAAAAAACATAATATAAGTGCAGATGATCGTCCCATCCTTTACAATTTATTTAGAGATGTTTTAATATCGGAAAGTGTTGAAGACGCTTCTGAAGTATTTTCTATTGCAATTGGACAAAATCATATTTCTGATAATGAAAAAAAAAAATAAAACTGAAAAAATATCCGCAATGGGTGGTGTACATTGAAAAATATTGGGAAAGACTTGACGATTTGTGTATGGCATACCGAGATGAAACTACTCACGGAACCAAACAAACAATTTTTGTGAAGTGAGCATTCGACTCTTTAAAGATGTTGTGTTATCTCGGAATAAAGCATATAATGCAATCGCTTTAATATATTTTATAGTGAGTTGCTTGGAAGAGTATTACCAAAAAAGAATTCGAAATTTTGCTAATTCAAGGAATTCAACACCTAGATTGTCATTAAAAAAGCTGATACATAAAGCTTCCAATATTAACAGGGATGATATTTTGTGTACAGGTTCTAAAACTTATAAGGTTCCTAGTGCGACTAAAAGCGTTGAATATTATTATATAGATGGAAACATAGGAGTTTGCACTTGTCATGATGGTAAATTAGGAACATTTTGCAAGCATCAGGCTGCAATATACTTTTACTTTGAGGAAACTGTCATCAACGCACCTGCGGTAACGCCAGAATCTCGTTACGAAATGGCCAAACTAGCATTTGGTGAGAAGGTACAACCTATTTCGTTTTACATGCCGTTAGTGCTCTCTAATACGTCTTCCAAGCACACTGAACAAACTGCTGATATTAATGTCAATTTAGATGAACGAAAAGCGTTAATTTCGATCGAAATTGGTGCGTCCACGTCACCTACAAATTTTGTTAACAGTGTGGCGCTTTAGATGAAAGAAAGGGTATTGAAGAAATTTACTTGCTAATGCAACAGCATAAAAAACGATTTGTAACATCAAATGCAACCATTCAAAAGTGTATACAAAGACTTAGAAATATTAAAACAAGGACATCTTGGGAATCTTTTCTATGTACAGCTGGAAGTTCTGTACCAATTCGTCATCGTACTAAGATGAATATAAAAGTTCAACCTACTTCCATAAGCAGACGTAGAGTAGGGATTACAAGGGGTTGCAAAATGTTACCGATTGGTCGGCCACCAAAGGAAAAAGGCGCACCAAGAAAAAGAAACACATGGAACAGGTCACTAAAACCTATTAAATTATTTTTTTGTTAATTTTCGAATTGTCTTTTTTATTTTTGAATATTCTTGTGTTTTGAAATTTCTTGATTATTTTTGAACGGACCAATAAACATTCACATTTAATATGTTTATTTTCTACTACTTTTCACGAAAAGTGATAATTTCTTCCCTGAAATGATAAATGCTGTACTTGAATGAGAAAATACACTCTGTGTATAGATATTAGAATTTAGCTTCTTACATTACATGGGAGGAAAATACCACTTTTCCACCCGCGGATTATTTATAGAAAAATCCAAAAAAATGTATATTATTTTTTTAGATTTTTACATTTCCTTGCATTCTTTTTAAATCCAGTTATTTTCTATAATATATAATTTTAAATTTTTACATGAAATTTTTCTTATTACTAAACCAAATTATTAATTTTAAAATCATTAAATATCGTCATAGGAAACAACGTGCGTTGATTATTATCTTACGTATATTTAGCGGAAGGTAAGTAAATTTAAATTTAAATTGATAACATTCTGACACTGTTTTCAGCACTGTTTAACATTCCGGTAGTGATTTCGGCACCCGGCTTGTTATTGGTTGAATGAATTGAAATTGACCAATAAAATTTATTCTGGTGCCGAATCCTATACCATAGTGTTAAAATGCTGCCGGATATTTTGTCCGAAGAGTACTCAACTTTGACAGCCTTAAGTCAGTCACTTTTGCAGATAATTTTTTTTTTATACTCCAACTACCACGAAGGCCTACGGCCTAAGCACCCATTGGGCACCGTGGGGCTATAGGGGGATACATGGGAAAGGGACCCCACACGGACTCTGGCGAGGGAACACGTGTGCATGCAACATGCACACATTCTGGCTCCGCCAATCACAACATCCATAGCCAAGAGAAAAATTTCTCCTGGGACGGGACTCGAACCCGCACAGCGCACGGCGACTGATCAGGAGACCGAAGAGTCTACTACTGCGGCCACCGCTGCTGCCTCAGGGGGGATATGATGGGATATGATGGGTAGGAGATTGCTCAATTTGCAACGTCCTCCTCAGACTCTAGAAGCACTTCGAGAGGAGTTGGTGGTTGCCTGAAATGAGATACTACAGGAGGACATTGACCACCTGATCAGAAGCATGCCTAGGCGCGTTGGAGAATGCGTAGCACATCAGGGTGCATCCACACATTATTAAAGGTCAAAGGGCTTTAAAGCAGTGCAATCATTTTGAAATTTTTATCATTTACTTATTATGCTTCATTAAGTACTTATACAAAATTTTATTAAAATAAAACCATTTAAACTGGGTGTTCGGATTTATATGTCACGTTTTGACAAATTGAGCTTCATATCACATATTTTCTGATAGCGGCCTTTCAAAGAGGGACAGTCCTGCAATGTAGGTTTTGTAAAGTGTTGCAATTACACTTTTTTTTAGGTTGATATATTTATGTAGAAACATCCTCAGTGTCCTGCGTTTAGAATTAGATGAACCAGACGAAAACTTTTGTCTTCCGCTTCACATTTTACAGTAGCAAATTGTTTTTTAGATATTTAAAATATCGGAACTATCGACAGATTAAAAACTGGTCCTGTATGTGAAAATATCCTAGTTGGGAAGCCGCTGTTAGATTACGTTGCTTGTCATTTTGCTGGTAGTTTGCTCCCGTTTTTATCCGCGACAGGCACGAAAATTTTGGTGATTCAGTGCATAATGCGTTTGCCTGGTATTTTTAACAATGCTTACATTGGAAATGCAACGGATTGAGAATATGACAGCAGGGTATATAGCGGAAGTCAATATTTTTCCGTCAATTGTAGATATTGGTAGTCTTCCATCATGACATATTTACTGTGAAGATTTTCACAAATAAATTTATATCAACACTGCGTTGCTTCTTTTTGTACAAGTAGAATCCTTTTCCATGTCAGAATTTTATAATTTTTACCATTGCAAAGAATATCTGCGGCGGCAAGTATAGTCGTAGTAGCTTTAGACACTGACAGAAAAGTTTTATAGCTGATTTTTATATAAGCTGTGGCTGTAGAATGTAATGTTTGCTCTAAACACCTCGAACAACAATCAAATTTATAAAAACTACCTCTACATCTTGGAAAAGCCATTCGTCTTCAGTAAGAATAAAAAACTTAGCATCACTGCCATTGTTCTGCACGATTAAAGAAACAAGCACAAACTCGGAGATAAGGCAACTCCCACAGTCTATCGTGTAGTTTAGTGCTGCTCTACGCTTTTCGGAAAATACTAAGCTTGAGGGAAAATCAACAAACTGGTCGTTTTTTAATACAAATATTCTTAGCTGGGGATCCTCTCTGAATGTCGTTATTGGTAAAGCTACCTCTTCTCCTGAAAGTAAATAATTGCTATGATTTTTTAACCTAAAACTAACGATATCTTGTTGATTGGATCTTATAACCGCCCAAGATTAGTGGAACTGGCAAAACGTCTTTTGATATATGCTTAGAATTATGAGAAGAAGTCTGGTGGTTCCTCCCGACTCACTTTGCACGCGACGGTGCGGCATAATGAGAAACTTTATCATATCGGTAGAATATACTATAGTTAGAGCAGCTGCACCCCAGTCTATCGGAATACGACAGCACAAAGTGTCGTATATTACCAGAATCGGCCACTGCGAGGGTAAAGTGCAGCTATATATTGGAACTGTATCTCAGTTTGCGACGACATCCATTGTGACCCCTTAATGCCGCCGATTCGGCCGGCCGACAAATAGAGGACCAACCGTGCACACCTATTTCATGCTTAGTATACAACAAAAGCTGAGCGAAGTATTATCTATCTGAAAGGGAAGGTCTATCGATAAACAACAGCACGAAGTTGCCAACTATAGTTGTAGTAATAGCTATTAACAGAATTGATCACCCTTCGCCTTGAGCCGCGGATCAACGAATTGTGAAGCCATTTTGAGATGTGAACCCGTATGTTTGGCCATTGACTGTGAGAACTGTTCTGGCAGCTACAGTTGTGACTTAGCAGCCAGAACAACGTTCAAAACTAATGCATGGATCCTCTTTACGCCATCAAGAGTTCCCACCTGATGGAAGCGAAAGGGGACCTAATACATCTGCTATCTCAAGCGCTACGTGAAAGGTGTAAGGCTAGTGGAGCTATAATAGTTGAGATTTTGGAGGCCTAGCAAAACATAGAAGTTTGCACTATGACTTTCGAGGCTTTTTCATATTTTTCCTGGCTTACAGATCAAGCTCAAAATCAGAGCTCGCTTGTAGCACAAACTGTTATCTACAGAACCCAGAAGTGAAAAGTGACATCGATTATTATAAGAGTTTCAGAAGCCTAAAAAAGACTCTCCTCTACATTATAAACGCACAGTGGATATGAGCGATAAGCTTTAGTGGCCAACTGTCTTGTTACATTGACGTCTCTGCCTTCTAAGAGTCAATTTAAACTTCAGTATCATATTCGTACGTTTAACTGTGTTTGTGCATTTTTATTGGATACAATCGCTTGATCAGACATTTTGCAAATAGATACTTTGTGGAATTTTAATGTTGTGATGGATTCATTGTCAGAATGGAATCAATTCTTACAATTTGGTCATTCAACGCAGACATAAATCTCCCAAAAATGAAACCATGAAACCATCGCAGCAATGAAATGCTAAAAACGTCTATTTACTTCTCACAAAAAGAGTCATCAACCAATTCCATTTAATGGAAGCGTAACTCAGTTAAATATCGGATATCAGGATATCATATTCTAAATTGAAATTGACCCTTAGTAGATACCTAATAATAATAACAAGAATAATAATAATATTTATTAGCCTCAACGATATAATACATTTCTAATACACAAAACATATTTTGAGCTGCAACTAAATCCAGAATCCGCAGAATGACAACCCTCGTGCGCGGGTGCAACAATTAAAAGTACTTACTAAAATTTTATAATAGTTTCAAATTAAAAATACTACATAGATATAACTAAAACTTTTATGTCTGGATTAGGCTAGTAGTATTGGCTTAGAATTAAATTTGTGGTAAGTTCGATTCAAACTATACCTCAAAATTTAAATGAACTTACAACTTGTACAAGTGACTTAATCAGGGAGGTTCTTCTGGTATTCTTTTTTAAAAATTGTTTTAATATCGTTTTAGGTCAATGATTTGGTGTGAATTATTGACATATTCATTATCCATTTTTTATCCTCTGCACTAATAATGCAGTCTCAGAAGCAATTATGGTCTTTTTGAGGTTATTCAAGCAGTCATTTTCATGACAACTTTTTGAATCGTATAGGTTCACATCTCAGAATGGCTTCACAGTTAAATGTCAATGCCTGTCATCCTTTGAAATATGAGCGTATGCGAAATGGGGCACAACGAGGGCTTAGAAGTCCAACACGTCGTTCTGTCCATATGGTCGGTTAGAGGACATATTGGAGTCAAAACTGTTCCTTAGGGGTATACCAATGTTGACATTATGGGATGGAGACGAGAATCCATCAGTTACAACGGATATCTTAGGAATTCTTACTTTTAGTAAAATACATACCATATTAAACTATTTTTTACATGCAACATTTGAATATAGACAATGATACTTTTTTAGAACTCACGCTTCCGAGCTGCGTATCTATCTCAAGTTTCTATTTTTTTTTATACTTCAACTACCACGAAGGCCTAAGGCCTAAGCACCCATTGGGTACCGTGGGGCTATAGGGGGATACATGGGAAAGGGGGAACGCCACACGGACTCTGGCGAGGGAACATGTATGCATGCAACATGCACACATTCTGGCTCCGCCTACGAGATCCGCCGGGTGGTACCTCCGCGTTCGTCAGTCAGAGACCGTCTACCACCTACGGACAATCACAACATCCATAGACAAGAGAAAAATGTCTCCTGGGACGGGACTCGAACCCGCACAGCGCACGGAGACTGATCAGGAGACCGAAGAGTCTACTACTGCGGCCACCGCTGCTGCCTGCCCTATTTTTGTATCAAGATGCTTACCTTTACTATTTCTGAAGATAACTTTGTCTAGAACGTTCCTATAAACTGTTGGTGAAAATGTTATCGTAGCTGTAACACTCATGCCGGCTGCAAGTTTTGCGGTCAAGTCCAACTCAACATGAAAATATTTAAATTTAGGGTACTGACTTATCATTATACTCTGCAATGTGTGGGTTGCATTTATTATCCGCACAATTCTCTAAAAATAAACATCATGTACCATATACGTAGCATATACAAGATAATTTAGAAAGTCATTGCAATATTTCGAGAAAAGGGAGTAGGTGTACTGTACTGAAATATAACGAGCAAGGTTTCTAAGGCGTTTATAGATTCAAAAGTATTTCCTGGCTGAGATACAGATTGTGTTATATAGTAGGTCTGATAATACCAGCTGAACCAGCCACGAAATTGTGTGAAATCCTATACAATTAATTAATACACCAGCAGTGTGTGTCATGGCGAGAATCTTCTATCAAAATACTCGTTTCCATTGTTCTACGTGAATACAGTCATCTCCGTGTTACAGTTGGTCCACTGGTTAACAGTTCTTAGGCTTTGCTGCACCACTCATCTATATAGAATTTCACACCTTTTTGGCACCTCCAGGGTTCATTGCTGTTTCCATTATAAGTCGGCGTCAAATGCTGAAATCCGTCATTCTCTGACATGCTTACTCAGTCCCCAGTGTAGGTAAACGCCGCAACAGTTTGATTATTACAATATTCGACTAAGTATTTCAGTTATTCCCTGTAATGACTGAACAATTTCAGTCAAAAACAGTAACAACCAGATTAACTTCGTTACTGCATTTGGCTGATTCAGTCATTAATTGTACCAGTTTTGTGTTCATTTGCTTGAGTACACACATCTCTACAGTGTTTGTAAGATGACGCAACATTCAGAATTCAAACTAAGTGAATACTATGACATTGTGAATAAAAAAACAAATGAAAAAATCAGTTTTGGTGCCATAGAAGTCTTATCATGCGCTAACAAATAATGTTTGAAGTAATATAAAATATGAGATAATTCTATGTAACTTTTATTCGTTCTGCATTTTTTTAATGTTTATTTACTGTTTTATATTAATTTCGATAGTTTCAGGATATTTGTTTCCGATTTAATAGACTAATGATTAATGTCCACAATAATATAATAAAGACAACGTTTTAATCTATACTTCTTTCCTTTTAGATCAATTCATGCGTAATTATTTTTCTTTTAATATTATTGATAAAGTAGTACTTTGTTATATTATGTACTTCATTTGAGCAATACTGTATTGATTACAGAATTACAGCGTTTGACTAAAATAGGCGAATGCAGGAACGAAGTTAATGTGATTGTTACGGTGTTTAACTGAAATTGTTCAGGCATTACAGGGAATGCTTAGTCAAACTTTGTAATAATCAAACTGTTACGATGTTTGCCGACAATACGGGACTGGCTAGGCATTTCAGGGCATGACGGATTTCGGCATTTGACGCCGACATTTACAGGGTTTTTCAGGTTACAACAACAAACATGGGGCGAAAAATGCGTGGCTTCCGAAATACAGGGTGTGTAAATTTACTTTCTAAAATAGTTTTTTTTAAATATTTCGAACAATATTTGATGTATAACAGTGAAAATTGGTATACAAGGGTTTTTTGGTACGACGAAACGAACCATCGGCATAGTTTTACTGTAGCTGCTAGAGGGCACTCTCTACTGTAGCTGTAGTGTATTAAAATGACCGAAAATTTTTTCTTAGTGCAATTTTTTGCTTTTTGAATAAAAAACTAATTCTTCGCACTTTTCAACATAAAAAAGCTCTCTTGTGAATTTTCGTTATAGTTAGCCGTTTTTGAGATTCGATGCATTTTTAATTATTTATGATAAAATAACGTTAAAAAGTCAGTATCTCGATAATTTTTAGAAGTAGGCTGTGCCTGCAAATATTTTTGAAATTGAAAGCAGAATAAGGTTAAACGTCGATTAGGAATAAATTGCGTGAAGAAAGATGTATTTAAATTTTACTTAGAGTTTTTGAAACATGGCTTTATACAGGGTGTTTCAGTTTATTGTTGCATAACTTTAAAGATTCGATAGAACTTTTAAAATTAATGCATAAAGTCTATATAAACATAGGTCGAAAAATGCGTGGCTTCCGAAATACAGGGTGTTTAAATTTGCTTTTTAAAATAGTTTTTTTTAAATATTTCGAACAATATTTGATGTATAACAGTGAAAATTGGTATACAAGGGTTTTTTGGTACGACAAAACGAACCATGGGCATAGTTTTACTGTAGCCGCTAGAGGGCGCTCTCTACTGTACCTGTAGTGTATTAAAATGACCAAAAAATTTTTCTTAGTGCAATTTTTTGCTTTTTGAATAAAAAGCTCTCTTGTGAGTTTTCGTTATAGTTAGGTTCGATGCATTTTTAATTATTTATGGCGAGATAATATTTTTTTTAAATTTTCGATTTAGGCATTACAAGTAATTAAGATGATCGTTTAGATTGTGTTTTTAAACTCAGCAATAATTCCTAACTCCAAATAAACACAAAAAAACAGAATATTAATTTGTTTAGTTTTCCAATGTTATTATTAACAAATTAAATTAATTATTTACAACTAAAATGCTATTGGATAGTTAGGACAAACATACAAAATCTAAAGTAGTTGCTCGAAATGTAAACCCAATTGTTCAATACACAATTCACACTACGAATGATCGAACGTGGTATAGCATTATTCAAATAAGGCCTTATTTCATCACATGCATTCCTGATTCTGTCTATTAGCATATCTCTTGTGGTTACGGGAGTCTGGTACACTTTTTCTTTTAGAAATCCCCACACAAAGAAATCTAATGGATTTAGGTCAGGGGATCGTGGCGGCCAGGCGACTGGTCCTCCACGGCCGATCCATCTTTCTGGATAATTTTCGTCCAGCCAGTTTCTAACTATTCTCGAATAATGAGCTGGACATCCATCAAGCTGGAACCAGGCCAATCTTCTTAAATCTAACATAACATCATCCCACGTATTTGCATGTTCAGCGTTTAAAAATTCCAAGAAGGTCGCAGCATTTAACCTTGCAGGCAAAAGGTAGGGTCCAAATAGTCGATTACGGTAGATACCAATCCACTCGTTCACACTAAATTCATGCTGAAAATTTATTTCCCGAACTGCATGCGGATTTTCATGCGACCAAATATGTTGATTATGAAAATTTACCACTCCACGTCTGGTGAAGCATGACTCATCGGTCCATAAAACGTTACTGAAAAACCCCCTATTATTATCAGTTTCGGGACCTCGGTTGGTCGCCTGGGTCAGAGTGTCGTGCTACTGATCAGCCGGTCGGCCGGGCCGCGAGTTCGAATCTCGCCTTGGCCATGGATGTTGTGACGTCGTGTGTTTGTCCATAATTAGAAATGTAAAATATAACAACCTTGTTTCTGGCTTCATGGATTAGGTCCTAAAGCCAAAAAAAAAAAAAAATTATCAGTTCTACTGACAAAATGTGATTCTTCGTTCTACGTCCCCTGGCTGTAGTCCTTGCAAAGGTTGCAAATGGTAAGGACGTCTATGGTCATTTCTAAGAACACGGTGAACATGACTTGCTGAAATTCCCAAGGCACCAGAAACTCTCCTAACGCTTGTGGCCGGATCTCTATCAAACTCACGCAGAATCATACGAGTAAATCTGCACTGACGAACATTTATGTTTTGATCCCTTTGGAGATGTCCAAAACCATTTTCAATTATTTGGCGATGCACTCTTACAAATACTGAGCGAGTTGGATGTCGTCTGTTTGGAAATCTTCGTGCGTATTCTCTGACTGCTTCTGCTGCGTTTCCATTTACAAAGCCATACACAAAATGAATATCCGCTAACTCTTGATTGGAGAATAAAAATGGCATTTTTATAAAACTTACAAAAAAAAAAGGTAAAAGAAACTAAATTTCGTGCATTCACAATTGCAAAAAAACGTTTCAGGTTTCAACAGACAACAAAACTATCTGTCAACTAATTGACGTTTAACCTTATTCTGCTTTCAATTTCAAAAATATTTGCAGGCACAGCCTACTTCTAAAAATTATCGAGATACTGACTTTTTAACGTTATTTTATCATAAATAATTAAAAATGCATCGAACCTTAAAAATCGAAATATCTCAAAAACGGCTAACTATAACGAAAATTCACAAGAGAGCTTTTTTATGTTGAAAAGTGCGAAGAATTAGTTTTTTATTCAAAAAGCAAAAAATTGCCCTAAGAAAAAATTTTCGGTCATTTTAATACACTACAGCTACAGTAGAGAGTGCCCTCTAGCGGCTACAGTAAAACTATGCCGATGGTTCGTTTTGTCGTACCAAAAAACCCTTGTATACCAATTTTCACTGTTATACATCAAATATTGTTCGAAATATTTAAAAAAAACTATTTTAGAAAGTAAATTTAAAAGTTCTATCGAAGCTTAAAGTTATGCAACAATAAACTGAAACACCCTGTATACCTCTTTCCATGAGCACAGATCCTGCAATAATCATTTTCCCTCAGTGAAATACCGCATCTTGTAAAATTGTATGTGGCGCAGAAAATATTTCTTTCATTTCTCAGGGCTACTGGCGAGGAAGTATTCTAATCGTGAAAAAATGAGAAAATGAGATATCATGTCACTCATTTCTTTTGTGCTGTCTGTCGATCTGTCTGACTGTTCGTCTGTTCGCTCACCCTTGGCCCGTCTATAATTTTCACAGAAGGTTACTACTTTAGCAAGGTCGAAAAAGCTTTGTAGTTGAAGATCGGGGAAATTGCGGCCGAAGTAGACGCAAAAAACAAAAAGATAAATACTGCAGAATCTTCGTTTTTTAAATTTTCAGACGCCCCTGATCATTTTCGGAAATATGAGGTTATAAGGGGGCGGAGACTATATCTCTTTTTTTGTCCAGGAATCAGAATATCTTCAGTTCCCTTGTAAAACGAAGTAGTGATAACCGCAAGCCCAGAGGTAGAGCACCCTATAAGGAGACGGAAACATCCCAATGATTTGCTTTTTTTAGTTTAGGAGCTATGGTTTTGTTTCTCTTTTTCAAAATTTTTGAAACTTTGAGCTTACTTTTGTCATAACTCCATAAATAAGTAAGATAAATGCCTGCTATTTCGTTATTATTTAGCTAAAACGTGAAGCTCACCTATCATAAGCTTGTTTCAGTCAGCTAATTAAAACAATATTCGTGAAATTAAAAAAGCATGACAACAAAAAGTAAAAAAGTTCACCTTGAACATTTCTTAAAAATAGAAAAAACATGCTCTCCCATTTATTAATATTTAAAAAGTAGTACTTTATTAACTGTTTTTTGACAGGGGAAAGCTTCTATAGCCTCTCCTATCGGCCTTGCCTGCCCGAAGTGTGAGATTCTCCAGCAATGCTCTCTGGTAGTCAACCCATCCATCACATTCGAGTAGATGATTAGGAGTATCTTCCTCCTCGTTGTAATATATACAGTTTGCGTACTCTCTCTTTCTCTACCCTCTTTAGGTAGCTGTCAAAACAACCATGTCCTGTGAGGAATTGTGCAATATAGTAATCTATCCGCACCGCTCCTTTGCCAGTCCAAGTTTTACTATCTGGGATCAGCCTTCTAATTCATACACCATGACCAGTTGCATCCCATCTTCCCTGTCACCAGACAAAACGTGCCTCTTTTCTCGCTTCTAGCTTTTTATATCGCATCCTTCCTCAGCCAGCAAATCAATTGGCCCAATGCCAGCCACGACAGTGCGCCAGTCGATACTGTTCTGTAAGCGCAAACCACGCTAGCTTCTGAGCATCAGTTATCTAAATGATTTTTCTCAAAACCTTATTATAAATACTGGCTCCGTACAGCATAATCGAGTTGCCAAAATTCCAGGCCTCTTACTACTTGGACCTTCATCAGATGGCATGAGTTGGATGAAGGGTTCAACGACTTTATTCAGCTTATCAGTACGCCTTATGTTATTTTCAGATCTTTGTTCAGCCACACAACCAGGTACTTAATTGCATTTTGGCTTCAAACCTCGCCGTTTTCGACCTTAATGGTAAGTGAAGTTAGCGTCTGTTGGCCATCTTGTCAGGAGCTAATTTCAAGCCATTTTGTTCTATCCAGATGGTGATGGTCATGTTTCCATATGCCAGAAGCGTTTCTAGTTTACGTCTCTCTTTGTTAGCGACTATCACTCTCAGGTCGTCGGCACACCCTATTAGGCGAATTCCTGAAGGCATCTGCAGCCGAAGGACCCCATCGTAGAACACGTTCCAAAGCAACGGCCGTAGGTCGGAGCTCTGCGGCACTCCCATGGTTACCTTCATCGGCTCTTGTCCTACCGTAGGCATCCTCTCATTTAAATAGCTCTTAATGATGTTCAATAGATAGCTAGGAATGCCTAGCTTCTCAAGAGATCTGATGATTTTCTAACATTTTGTCTTGATTCTTAACGAGTATGGTATTCTTTCTCCGTCTCAATCCATTATGTGTTTTTACTTCGACATATTTTCTTAGCCTACCTTCTATCAGTCGTTCTGGTCGCTTTCCCAGAGAGCTCAGCATACACAGAGGCCTATATTTGATTTCCTTATCGGTGGACTTTAGAGATTTCGGGATGAGTACCAAACCAGCCTCCTTTCACCTCTCCTGAAACAATCATTCATCACAGACGGCACGTTTTCGGTAATTTCTTTAACCAGCACTGTCGCGATCACGTTTGGTATTTGGTTGATCCTGGCACCTTACCTGTTTTGCAGCTCCTTCCTGCTCACTCATGGTGAACACTGAGCCTCTTTAAATTGTCATTCGGTGTATGAGAATTTCGGAAACGATCCCTCTGCAATTTTCATTTATTGTTCGGTATCCAGGTTATGTCTGTCTATGAATTCAAGCTTTTCCATAGCTATTTTGTATACTTGACCCCAATGTCTTTTTCTAGGTCATTTAATAGCTCTTTCCAGATCCTCCGTTTAGAGTTCACTATGAGCTTTTCTAGTTTTTTCTTGGCACCTCGATCTTGTTTTTTGAACTCAACCACCAGAGCATTACCCCTTGTTCCATTTGATCTATGGTACTTTCCATTTTCTTTGGTTATTTTACATCTCTTTTTAGAGTTATTTCATTGTTTCACTAATACTTGTCTTCCCTCAATTCACCATTTTTGTGGATCTCACCAAACTTGTTATCACGTACTCTCTGACTATATCCTCTAGTAGTTGGACTTGTCATTGTAATCATCCAGATTTCCGGAGAATGCTTTTAATTTCATTCCATTTATTTTCTACCACTTATAACAACTGGATGGAGAGACAGACCTTTTCGGTTATTCTGCATCTACTCCATCGAATTTTGGTCCGCTGCTGTTCTAATACCATACGTCCAAGCCCCTCAGGAATCACCATCAAGGCAGTGCAAGGATCTTTTCGGTGATCTGGACTTGAATACTTGTAAGTAGTCCTGCAATACTCTGTTGTTCTTCCACAGCTTGAAGGACCTCTTCTTTATCTGTGGTTTCTTCAAGGTCTCGTATTTTTACTGCTGTGGTTCCAAAATTAAGGTACCATGTAATAAATAAATAAATAAATATAATAAATTTTAATGGTTGATAGACTGATAGAGTACAGAAGAAGCTTTTAAAACACTAACGAATCGCAAAACCATGTTTTTTCTATTTTTGAAAACCGTTTCACCGTTTCACTTTTGTGTTATGTCATGTTTTTTGTAATTTCAAAATGTAGGAGTAATTACATGTTTAGTTACAGGGTTTTTTTTTAGCTACCCGATAATGGAAAGAGCAGGCATTTTTTACTTAATTACAAAATTATAACCAAAATAAGCACGGAACTCGAAAAATCAAAAAAAATATCGTAACTCCTAAACTAAAGATCAGATCATATATACGGGGTTATTCGGACTACCCATGGAATGATCTACCTCTGGACTTTTAGTTATCCCAATTTTATGTTTTTGTTCTTTATACTAACGCCTATAAAAATTTGAGAGGACACCTTTATAGCTTTGCAAACACTATTCGTATATTATTTCTTAAGTTCGTGAATATCGCTTCAATAGCCAGGTTCTTGGTAAAGGGATATTAGAGGAACCATGTTTATTAGGACGTAGCTTACTTTTGAGCACACTTTCTGATTGATAAGCGGATAGATAAAGTTGTATCAAACCTTGTATTTCTTGCCTACTTCGAAATTACTGTATACGATGGAACTTGGTACCACTTTAATATTCTTTGTTGGTTTTAGATCTTGTTGTTTTAGAATTTGTGTACCGTATAATATACTCGTATCGTACGAGGTGGTAGTCATTTCTGTATTCTTCATAGCTTTCCTCATCTTGTGATGTTTCTTTTCTTTGATTGATTTCGTGTGCGTCTCGTTCAAACAATTTTCGCAGACCATTTTGTCGTTATAGAAGAAATCTGAATATAAATATAAATCAATTTCCGAATTATACAGGCATATTGCACCGAAGTGATACGTAAGTTTGGAAAGGAATGAAGAAGTGTTTTTGAAAATTTTTATAATATAAAAATCCTTTAAGAAGTATTAATGATATCTACAACTAGCCGAAGTGCAAAATGCGTGAATCAAAAAATATAACTACAGCTTAAAGTGGTCCGAAAGTAAAAAAGCCGAAATACATTGCTCGAGCTACAGAAGTTGAAAGTGACCTAAAGGTAGCAAATTCCACTTCTCTTCATAATAAGAATTTAAAACTTACTAAGGTGTATTTGCAATGCATCTGGCATCAAGTCAAATAGACTGAGCAGGCCAAAATGCTTCCACAGGTCCGATTTTATATTCCCAAAGAGCTTGCAATGTTTCAATTTTACCCCTTGCAATGTATTATCACAATCAATTCTGTTTTTCTCGATAATATGCCGTCCTTGTTGGGTCATAATATCATTTTCGGCTCTTTGCAAAACTTCACATGTATCTTGGTAGTTTCCATATATCTTAAAAAAATCAATCCACATATTCCCTAATCAAAATATTTTTTGAGCTTTCGCTAATATTTTTTTAGCTTCATCAGAAATCTACAATTATGATTAATGTAGGTTTATAATAATGCATTATCATATGTATGCAAAAACTTTCAAGAAAAGTGAGATTAGTGCATGTAAATGACAAATCTTCTGGAATAAGACATCGTCTTGAAAATATAAATTAAATATATAAGGAATTAAAATGTTTGAAAAAATCGCATCTATTCTCTATTACAAAAGCATATACAAGTATTGAATTTAGATATTGACTAGATAGTAGTAATGAATATTCCCTTATCTAATTATGGAAAAAGTCAGCAAAAGTCCACGTTTAGGGATGCATGGAATGATGTTTTCTCATTTGAAAGTAATCTACACCTTTAAAAAGTAGAAAATAATTTTCAATTATAGGAGAGTTTGTGTTACTAAAATAGAAAATCCAACAATCAGGTATGAATAATTAATTTGGAATAACATCAATATAAAAATTAAGATATCAACAAAAAATTCAATTGTAATAAAAAGCCTGAGATGCTTGATATTAAATGCTAAAATTATGTTTTTAGTTGCTATTTACAAAATTGGTGTTGTTATAAAAATATAGTTAATTGCACCTCACGCGTTTTTACTATAAACTATAATCAATATTTTGTTACTATCTTTATTTTTACATTGATCTTATTCCAAATTAAATAGTCATATTTGATTGTTAGACTTTCTATTGCAGTAACAAAATCTTAGGAGAGGTACTTGAGAATTATGTTTTACTTTTTAGTTCGATTTGCTATTGAAGAGTTTATCAAGCTTCAATTTATTTTCTAAATTTTCAGTCTCAAAACGACAACAACATTACGTTCAAGAGCTTCGATTTTTGGTATATTTTCAAATTGTTTTGACAAGCTAAAAAACCTTTTTTTATATTTTCAATTTTATCCCAATTTTTGATACACATTTCTTTCCAAATTTAAAATTTTTCAAAACTTTTCCAAAATATCGAAATTTCCAGAATGTATTTCCAAAATTTACAATTTTTATTTTGATTCCTAAAATTTCTAATTTTTCCATGATTATTGAATTGTCTCGGCGCTTGAGCCTTATGCAAATTTTCAGGTTTAATCAAACTTGTTGAAATTGATGAAAATTAGGTTAAAAGATTCCGTTATATACATACATAATATATCCACATATGTCAAGCAATAAAAGCGTGTCAAAAAAGCAGCTTGTATACATATCATAAGAATACCTCCAAGACCTTAACCGCAGGATGTATCAATCCCACCCCATCGTCCGGTTTATTCTGCAGAATATTCCTGGCTACCACTGCAGGATACCAAGGTTGTTGAAGGGCATCCTGGAAAGATTTGCGCAAGACCGGTGCTGTATTAGTATGCCCCTTATCTTCTTGAATCAACGGTGGAGCGTCCATTTTCTACGGAGTGGAATAATTTTTTTTAATCTATTTTCTTTGTAGTTGTCCAAAGCTGACGTCAGGCATAATAATGGTGACAGTACAAGTCAGTTATTTTTGGGTTATTTCACGTAGGCAACTATCAAAACCGGAGAACATAAACACTTGGATCCTATTGAAATATCTGAAACTTATCTTGTGATTTTCATGCTGATCATTTTCCATGATTTCTGGCCGTTAAATGAAACCACACATTTATGTAGGCTTGAGTTTTTACTAACGTTTCGACCACTTTGAAAACCGAAGCGGTCGACACGTTAGTAAATTCTCAAGCGTACATATACAATGTGTTTGGTCACGACATGCCGATATCTAAGGGCGGTATTTTTCAGCTATTTTTAGCGATAGATCCACCCCCTTCAATGTCCTACCTCACCACGTTACGGTTACGCTAGTGCATGTAAAAAAATTGTAATAACTGAGGACATAAGTGTCATAGAATAGTAAATTTGGTGTAATTTGAACGATAACGTGTTGTCCTAGCGATTATTGAAAAACTTGTATTGATACTAACCGTCAAACATACTTATAAACAGACAAAAACAGAAAAAACATGCAAGAAAATTGATTATTTTGTGCATTTCCGCACACCATTCAAAAACTAGTCTGTGAAGTTGTACTTTTTTGTGCAAATTCTACAGCGAACTATGTTATCTACAAAATGACACCAAATTTGTTACCCTATGTTAGTTATTTTAAGTACATATATTGCTTAAACATGACCCTAGGGAGCGGACCGAATCCAACATTCCTGGTATAGAGGTGAATTTATTGAGAGTGTGAGTGAGACAACATCTACCGAAAGGTCTCGTTATCGACATGGTAACAACCGGTTATTTGTTATCAATGTCATAGTGAGTGTTTTGTAGTCCCTCGCCACGCGTTGCGATCATACGTCCATTTTGTGGCCATTGCTGACTAGTTTCAACATCAATTTTCTGAACGTATTTGAGTTGGAAGTGATTTGTGACTGAACATTTTATTAGTCATGCCTAAGTCTCTATCATGCCAAATCGTCCACGTAATAAATTTTCAAATCACCATGCTGCTGATATGGTGTTTGTTTACAGCTTTTGCGATGGAAATGCCGCAGTTGCTGTGAGAGAATATCGAAGACGATTTCCTGACCGAATTACGCAAAATGTGAGGACTTTTGTCTTTATGGGAAAATGGGAATCAAAGGTCAGAAAACAACCGTTATCGGCTACTGTCTCCATAAGATGAAGAAGAGATTCTCAACATGATTACCCGAGATCCGAGAGTTAGAGTGAGGAGGATCGCTGCAAGACTACACTTGTCACATCGGTCGGCTTGGAGAGTCCTTAAGAGAGAAGGTTTACATCCCTATCATTTTAGAAGAGTTCAGGATCTTCATGAGCCAGATTATGCAGCAAGAATCATAGTATGCACCTGGTTTCAACAGCAGCTGCGTCAAGACTGCAACTTTTGTGAAAAAATTCTGAGGACGGACGAAGCAAAATTTACGAGGCAGAGGATCATAAACCATAGAAACGACCATTTGTGGTCTTCGGAAAACCCTCATACAGTTCGACCGATACCTTTCAACAGGAAACGGAGTCTCAGTCGGCTAGGTTGAGCTATCTCCAAGATTAAATGTCCAGGGATTTTTGGGGTTCTTGAGGACCGAGTTTGCAGATCTACTCCATGATCTGTCACTTATCAACCGCCGCAACATGAGGTTGCAGCTTGACGGAGCTCCCGCTCACTTTGCGCGAATTGTACGAGAACATTTGGATGGGCAACATTCCTCATGGACAGGTCGTGGAAGCACTGTCGCTTGGCCACCCGATCATTGGATTTAATGCCCCTAGATTATTTTTTTTTCTGGGGCACAATGTAGCAAAAAGTTTACTGTCATGTGTCGGCGACATAGTATGAGCTCGTGGAAAGGATCCATACCGCTGCGAACGAAATTAGAGCTGCCACGGATATAGTCTGCCGCTCAACACGACACATGGTTTTAAGAGCAATAATGTGCATAACCATTTATAGAAGACATTTTGAACAGCTTCTGTAACTTTGAACATGTCCAAACTCTTCATGAGAAACATTGATTTGTCATTTTTATGTATAAAAAGTTTGAAAGCAATTTGCATTTTATTACACCCATTTTGACCAATGTTAGATAGCATCTATTACTTAACGTAGAAGACTTAGATTAACAAATTTGGTGTCATTCTATAGATAAGATAGTTAACTGTTGAATTAGCACAAAAAAAGTACTTCACATACTAGTTTTTGAATGGTGTGCGGAAATGCACAAAATAATCAATTTTCTTGCATATTTTTTTCTGTTTTTGTCTGTTTTTAAGTATGTTTGACGGTTAGTATCAAAACAAGTTTTTCAATAATCGCCAGGGCAACATGTTATCCTTCAAATGACACCAAATTTATCATTCTGTGACACTTATGTACTCAATTATTACAATTTTCTTACATGCACTAGCTTAATCGTAACGTAAAGATAAAAATGGCTGCCATTTCAAGAGGGGTGAGGTAGGACATTGTAGGGGGTGAATTTGTCGATAAAAATAGCTGAAAAATACCCCCCTTAAATATCGGTATGTCGTAACAAAACACATTGTATAGCAGAAAATATGGTGAACTTGGATTCTTTGTGATCATTAGTGAATATTTTCATAGAAACACTGCAATCTTTGCAGCATAATGTACCAGAAATGCAAGCGCCTCCGCCGGGAGCAAAATCGCGCCAAGCAACTGCGACAAGGGAGGTGTACCTCAACATGTGCCACAGACATGTCAATTTGCAGCATGGCACTTTTATATGCACAAACTTTTACAAATGTTCCGGTCGCATGTTGCACAAGATGCGCCCGACTGTCAACACGTTGCGCCACATAAGTCCGGCATATGCGCCTGCAACTTGTTATATTGTAAACGACCTTGGGATGTGATATTACTTTTTTTGCTGTTATCTGAGAATATCTGATAATATGAAGGCTTATGACGGCTTGACTCTTCAAGGTATCGTTCTTCGAATATTTCCAAAAGAAAAATCATGTCAACGTGTATCATATGTATTTATCAATACTTATAAGGATTAAAAGAAAAATTTAGAAGATAATTTTTATGCAGAATTAACCACTTTTATCAGAAAAATAGCTTAATTAAGAAATGTTGGTGATAAGAAAATTTTAATTATTAATAGGTAAAATATCGAGGTACATGATGCATGCTATACTGAAATAGGAATGACAGATATAGCACTCTCTCAGGGGTACTGAGAGAGAATAAATTAGAAATAACTTTTTTGTCTTGCAGCAGGAAATTAAGGCTGATGACACATTAACGGAGCATCTATTTTCCGTATTGCCATTTTTTATTTCAATTGTCATCAACGATACCGCTATGCTTAGTTTTCCTACAACATTTGTAGTCAAGAGTTTTTTCAATTTTCAGATGACAAAAAAGTTAATAAACCAAAGTCGCATTCGGCGATAACATTCATATTTATTTTCTAATCCGTGCAGCTTTTCCCATTTTCAAGACCATTCAATCAAAATTATAATATGCCTATGATTCCACCAGATACAAAACCCTCTTTCTTGGATAAACCTCGCAAATTTTCTATAAATTTTGCAGTAGCCTGTAAATATCACTAAACCCTTAAGTGCCTTTGTCATCGTCAAAGGGTACTTATAACCGGTTATCCACATTGTTATTTCTAACACTAAACTCCTTCATTTTTGTACAAATTTTTTGCTACGTCCTAACACTGACGGTCCTTTTAAGCATTTTTTCTACCTGACCAGCAACCAAACCGTAAAAAAATGATAACGGAATAAAGGGATGGCCTATAAACATAACGAGTTCGCTAAAAAACATCCCTCAGTCCTTTCCATAAAAAATCTGCAAGAGTTATAAAGTAATAAAAAGAGGTTTGCAAAGAGTTTGGTGCTTGTATTTTGGGTTGAAGCAGGTATTTGTAGGAGGTTTTTTAAAAGCAAATTCATTATTTAACCATGAAAGAGTACGGGTATCTGACGGCGTAATAAACATTTCTGTTTATTGGCTTGAAGAAAAATATGTACTTACTAGATTTATGACAAAAGTACACATTTTTTTATTGCTGGTTTATGCAGCCGTGTACATTTGCAATACATCTTAAATTATTCGTGCTTCCATTTTCAGCTTTATATTGTTCGAAGTTTGATATACCGGGAATCCTTGGCTGCTGATATCATAAAACTAGACTTTCTGATAATTTCAAGGCCCACTAAATTTAGTTTTATAGTTTTTCAATAGTGACGTATGCCATATGATACATTTATTGTAATCAGAATTCTATTCACTTACGCAAAAATACAAGATGGTGTCGATACAAAAATTAGGTTACTGGTTAGGTCACAAGCTGACCAACGATTTTTAGTCCGAAATACTCTTGAGTGTCGTACCTGTCAAAATCCGATATAAAACAGGCTTATCGTACGTCTTTCCGGCCTATTATAGAAACCATACAATGCTGCTGCCAACCGCCGGTATGAGTTCTAAAAGATAGATGCTGTGGGCAAATCGCATGTGTAACAAAAATAAAACTTAGACCATTACATAGTTGTTAATATTTGTTCAGTTGAGTTGATACATATACTGGGATAATGCAATTTAGCTTCTTGAGGAACTTTACTTAAATGTGAGGGTAGAATGACTAACATAAACTGGACGTGGTTCTATTACCTTTCGAGGAGCCACCCCTCAATTTTCAATCTCTTCAAAAAAATTTCCGAGAATGATTAGAATTATCTGAAACGCAGAAACGAACTTTGAACAATGTTCTTTTCGTTTTGGCCATTTTCCTTTGCCGCCACTAAACCGATTTTCAAAAACTACAAAGCTTTTGTGTGAACATTTTGTCGAAATCAGAGTGGTACTTCTCAAGTTATAGGCGGTTATAAGATTAGCGGACAGACAGATAGACGGGA